CTGATTTTAGCTCCTTGCCATCTATATTGAGCGTGCTGCAGCAGTCGCTCCTGCAGCTCTTGAATGGTATTGCTAGGTTCATCCGAAGTTCCATTTCCAAGGTGTGAAGTTGTTTGTGAAGCTCCATTTCCTGAAAGTTGCGTCTTTTTGCGATCAGCTTAGAGTACTCATTGCATTTTCGCCCTAGGAAGAATAGGCCGTTATTGAACCACTGTATTTCTGATTTAGGTTTTTTTAGCATCAAACGCATTTACCGAATCGAACGGAGATAAAGTCCGTTGGAAAAAGCAAGGGTCCTAGACTAGAAGTCTAGAAGTAAACAGAATAGCATTCAAATACAGCACCTTGGGCAGGGGTGATGGTACATCCTTCGGATTCCTTCCCTAAGGAAACAATCAATGCAGTTTTTCAGGCCTCCACTCCACACCGTAAGGGGGAGAACCGTGCGCGAGCATCTGTTGTCATTTTTCTGTAAGTGGGAGAAGCGTGTGTGAGTATCTGTTGTAATTTTTCTGACTTGCCGGTGCCGTCTTCTCGGGCCTCCCATCCATACTGGGGAGGAGCGTGTGTGTATCTTTTATGTTTTCCATTTTGACTTGCCGGGGGAATAGGAACCGGACTGACGCTCCCCAGAATGGAAATGGAGCCAGAGCCATAAGGTTCTGTTTTTTTTTTTTTTTTTTAAAAAAAAAAAAAAAAGGAACCGGACTGACGCTCCCTCAGAACGGAAAAGGAGCCAGGACCCTGATGTTCTGCTTTTTTAACTTAAAAAAAAATAAAAAAAATCGTTCCTTTTTTAAAAATCTTCGCAAGGGATTCTGAAGAGACCGTCGGCCAACAGTTGAAGCATGAGTCCAATCAAGAACTTTCGCTTCATATAGGCACAGAGAACTGCCCGGCGAGCTGCAGTGGGCGGAAAGGAAGAAAAGGACAAGAAACAGCGGGCTGCGATGGACTTTTGCCGAAGTTTTGCCAACTCATCATTGATTATATACAGCACTGCGATGGCCTGCTTTGCGTTGATTACTTTTCACAGGTACATTAATGGCAGTGGTTGGTGCCCACCTCAGCGTATCAGTTATAGGGTAATCGTTGATGCTTAACCGCAACCGGGGTTAAGGTGGAATATCACTATTACAGTGTAATCTACTAATCACTGATAGGTAAGGGAATTGTGCAGACTGTTGAGGGTTCAGCCTCCTGATTGACGAGTCAGTTGGTGTAACACTGAAACTCCTATGAAACAGGTTGTCACAGCCGCTCGTTTGTTGTCCTCTTCTCCTTCTCTGCCTACTACGGTTTACGGGGCAGCTCTGTTTGACGATATATATGTATACACATCGTCAGACAGATCATCATAGAGAACTGCGCGGTGAAGCATAGGCAGAGAGGGAGAAGAGGACAACAAAGGAGGGGCTGTGACACACTGAAAATATGGAGAATTTGGGCCTCATTCCACTACTCAGCAAATGTGCAAAATGAAAATGAATCTCCACTGCTAGAACATGGGAAGATATAATGCCATATTTTGTGTCTTTTCTGCATGTGGTTTTGACACTCTTATGACATCCTTGTGGACCTCTTGCCTAAGTATTTTGGCCAAATACCTGAAAGATGCCAGGGGAAATTTTCAGATGCCTTGGTCATAATGCCGCATCTTAGAAGGCAACTCTTTTTTTTTTTTTTTTTTTTTTTTTTTTTGTGTGTGTCCAGGTTAGCATGGTCAATCAGCTGTATGATCTGTATGTGCCCAAATGGATATGATCTGGGTACAGTGACTACAGTCCAACAAGCGAGAGACAAAAAATTCAGAATGGCATGGGGAATAGGGGGCACGGGCAGTATGGGGGGAGGGAGGAGAGCAGAGGGGCGAGGGACAAGGGGATAGCATAAATTTAATAAATAAATTATTAAAACGTGGGAGCATAAATTCCACAAAATTGTGTAGGTGGGGGAGTTAGCATAAATTTCGTCAAATTATTAAAATTATTGAATAAATATTAGATATTAAATTCTGAATGGTTTCTTTTACAGTTCCATCAGCTGCAGGGAAGGTGTGTTTATTATTAAAAGAAAAAGAAAACATTCAAAAAAAGATGTGGGTACGGAAACATTGACCCCAAGTCTGAAACTGCCAGGGAAGGTGTGTTCATTAAAAAAAAAAAAAGACGTGGATGACAGGATTCAAGCTGCCTATGACCCCCTCATATAATAATCAGCGCACCTGGGCTTGACAGACTATGCCTTTGTTTATACCTGTTACATCTTCGACGCACACGGGCCCTACCGGACCCGACTTAGGGTCGGAGGGACACATCAGGGCCTAAAGGCCCGACCTTGGGATAGTACAGGCCCTCAGGGCCTGATCTTGGACCAGTACCCAACGGGCAGGCCCAAACGGCATTATCGTTTGGGCCTGGCGGCGCTCTTGAGGCTGCCGCCCGCCGGTTGGGGCTGAACCGTCCATCTGGACGGT